CCACCAGATAGAAAGAAGAACCTTCTTCGCATGAAGTTCCGGTTGTGGTTGGGCCTTTTTCCCATTACTAAGCCACTGCCTATGATGTTTAATATTTTTATAAAAAAATCAATTTTTCATCACCACTCACAAAAATATCCAAAAAGGGCGAGATAAAGTCACGAGAATGAAGAGAAGAGCAGATCTCAACTCGCGATTTGCAGTTCACTTCAGACAATTCATGAGGCACCCATTTTCCAAGTTTAGGAACCTTTCCAAGTTGTTGAAGATGACGATGAACAGTTGTATGGTTTGAACCAAGCTTCATTGCCAATTCTTCAACTGATACTGCACTAAAATTGATATGTACTGTAGACATAGAGTCAAAATAGGAATTTGTATCTTGAGAAAATAATGTAGACACTATTTCCAGCCTAGTTTGTTTATTTTTTAAGAGTCTCTAGTTGTAGGCTTGAAAATACAATCTTTGCATTTTGATTAAACTTATTTCCATACTTTTTTTGACGATCCCTATTCCCCCTTTTAAATTAACAATTTTTAATTACCTTGTAAGTCATTAAATACTGTACCTTTAAGATGAGTAGACTTTTTTATCCAAGGGATGTCTACTTTCCAACTGAACAAACAGATAATATATAGTCATTTGAGATGTCACCGTGCTGGTACCAGCGGATTTACCAGTTTTCGATAAGAAGTGCTTGTGGTAGATCATATCTGTTGGTCACAATTGATTGACCCCCCTCAACACTCACATCTAAGTAACGCCCCTAGTTGTGATTAAATGTACCAAATTAGTCCTCTTGATCTATGTCTGTAAACCAGTCCTCTAAAGTTTTACAAACGACTTTGGTTCATGTTTCTAACGTTCTACTTTCAGGAGACGACAAACTGAAGGTGGTGTGTTATTTCACTAACTGGGCCTGGTACCGAGCTGTTGGAGGAAGATTTCTACCCGAGGATATAGACCCCACCCTCTGTACCCACATCAACTATGCCTTTGCTACCTTGGACAGTACTTCATTGACGTTAAAACCGTTCGACAGCTGGGCAGACATTGAAAATAATTTTTACGAGCGAGTGGTGGCACTGAAAAACCGAAATCCTCGACTTCGTGTTTTGCTGGCATTAGGAGGATGGACGGATTCAGCGGGTGACAAGTATACTCGTCTAACTGCCAGTGCAACGAAAAGACGGAATTTTATCCAACAAGCTGTCCACTTTCTACAACAACACCATTTTGACGGGTTGGACCTAGATTGGGAGTTCCCTGTTTGTTGGCAATCTTCCTGTGGGTCAGGTCCTACAAGTGATCGTTCGAATTTTGCAACTTTTGTTCGAGAATTACGAGAGGCGTTTGACCAAGTCCAGCCAACTCTCCTTTTGACTGCGGCCGTGTCTGCTTCCAAAACTATCATTGACAATGCTTATGACGTACCATCCCTTGCCAATAATCTTGACTTCATCAATCTTATGGCGTACGATTATCATGGCTCCTGGGAAAAAAGAACTGGTCACGTGGCTCCCCTCTATCAGAAGCTAGGAGATCCGCTCAGTGCTAACTTTTCACTAACCTACTGGGTACAGAAAGGAGCTCCACCACATAAGCTGATACTAGGGACTCCATTTTACGGCCGTAGCTTCACCTTGGCCAGCTCCAACATGAATGGAATAGGCGCCCCAAGTAATGGCGGCGGTAAAGCCGGACCACTGACCAAAGAAATTGGGATACTGGCATACTATGAGGTACGTAATTATTATAAAACTGTTTGTTGTTTGCTTTAGAAAAAAGACAACTTGTTCTATCTGCTGGGTCTATTGCGGTGAAGCAAACTCTGGAATTTAGCATTGCAAGTCCGTAAAGTTACCGCTGTCCTAATGGGAACCTTATAAAATTGAAGAAATGGTACACTTACTAATTCATCTTGACTACAACTGAAAGACCGTCCCAGCCAGACCAAGAAAATTCATAAATACATTGGTATTTACTTACTTTGAAGGTTAATCACAGGTTTTCTACCACTTGGAATATTTTTCTTGCATAAACAATTGTAAACTAAGGGAAGGGATGAGTTTGTTTGCAGTTAAACACAAAGCTGCACAAAGGGCCATCTGTGCTCTTCCCACCACGGGTATCGAAACCCGGTTTCTAGCATTGTAAGTCTGCAGACATACCACTGGGGGTGAAGGGATGAGAGAGATAAGACAATCAAACCTAATATATACTTAAGCTAGTATTTTTAAAATATGTACAAAATAATTAAGCGCATACACAAAAAACAATCCCCAGTGGTAGGCTTAAGGGGTTACAAAACTAACATTTAGGGTTCGATCCCCTCAGTAGAAAAATCACATTGTGTGTAGTCATGCAGTGGAACAGTAACAAACTATTAAGAAACAACTAAAGACCTGAGACATATTAAGTCTTCTGTAAAGTTTGCAGTTTAAATTTCAACAAGCACACTATAACCCTCGATAGTCAGGATACACTGATGAAATATTTTTTGTTGTTTTTTTACATTCACGAGTTAAGTCTCGTTCACTTTGACAACTTTAAGGTAAAGGTTGAGAAACAAGTTACACCTCCATGATCTAATTGGTCAGGTCGTACCATATTATCTATTATAAAGGATCACTTCGTTACCAGGTAAAGGTTCAGAAACAAGTTACACCTCCATGATCTAATTGGTCAGGTCGTACCATATCATTCACTGTACTATACTGTTTTGAATATTGCTTATAACTTGGAATTTGAGATACAATTAAGGAATTTTTGGCAGCCTCAAAAACACAACAGTAGCTAAGTATATATAAGAAAGTCACCTAGTAAACCAGAAAATATTCACTGCAACTGTCTTTATTTTATGCCTTTCTTTGAATGTAATTGTTTCACTTCTAGTGCAATTATGATTAAGTCAGCTCTTTATGCCCATGAATTTAGAGAAAACTGTATTAGTTCAGAATGTCAGCATACCCTCATTTCTAAATTAGTTATTAAAATGTTTAAAAACAAATAACCAGAAGAACGTTTGAGTTCAAACAATAATATTTAAAAAGTAACCTTTTGATTATTTAGTTTTTAATGATATAAATCTATTATTATAGATCTGTGATAAGATGAACAACCAAGCCTGGAGACAAGTGAAAGATCCCTCTGGAGGTACTGGTCCCTATGCCTATCGGGAGGATCAGTGGGTTGGGTTTGATGACCCTGAAACTCTCTCCCAAAAAGCCAAACTGGTTCGTGAACAAGGATATGGAGGAGTCATGATGTGGACAGTGGACTTTGACGATTTTAGCGGCATCTGCTGTCAGAAACCCTTTCCACTTCTGAGAGCTGTTCATTATGGCTTATTTGGTACAGGAGATCCCCCAGAAACTTACAAATGTGAAGAGAACCTAATTAGCCGGGAACCTCCCTTTGGAATCATTGTCCCTGTAGCTCACCAGTATCCCGTCCTATTGCGAGCAGACCAAGTACCTCAATGACTCAACGTGGATTGTTGATACTTTAAGAAATCTCGTAGTTCTTAAATCATTTCATTCATTATTTGTTTTGGTTGGGATAAGGTGTGTTTTTACCTTCTAGTGTGTGTTGGTATTTACTTTCAAGTTGTCATGCTGTCAAGGTTTATTGAATAAAAAATCACTGTGATACTGTTTCTAAAGAGAATTATGAAGTAATACAGAATATTTACTACCTGAGGTTTCTGAATACAGAAAAATCTGTTAATACATGGAAAAACAAATTAAAACAGTATTTCAAAGCAGCTATTTCTACTAACTTGTATTTAATCCATTACTTATAGATACAATAACAAAATAAATGTCTTTAGTGACACAGGGCAACAACACAAATTTCTCTGCTACTAGAAAAAATGCCACTTTTTATCAGTGATTTGACGATGTTGATTCTAAATATCATGTTGAAAATTACTTATCGCCTCTAGTTTTCGAGTTATGATAGATTTATTCAAAATATTTATATATTGTGAAAACAACTTTTTTCTTTAATAACTTTATCTATTTAAAATTGCATTTAGGAATGTTCAAAACCAATACATAATAGCAATATCAATGTAAAAAAGCAGAGAATATGATAAGATTATATACACTCAAGCTATATTCAAAACTTTCATCATAGTTATACAAAATACCAGCTTTACTTGTTGCACCTTTTGTGAATGTTCTCAGTTTCACGCTGTAAGAACCAATAGTAATCTCCCATCATTGCAGGATTCTATTGTCCTTGATATCGCTGTTCCATTATAGAAATATCTTGGTGCAAGCTATCACCATGCTCCCTGCACCAAGATCATTTGGAAAGACATCTAAATGGGAGTGTGAGAAGTGCATCTTTAGTGACATCCTAGACCCCCATTATCCTGCAGTTCTTCAGCATATCATCAATTATCATAGCATTGTTTTCATCTCTGTGATTTCTTAAGAAATTCTTGACAACCAGTTTGAATGATTTCTAGGTAGCAAGTTCTTTTTGACTGAGTACTATTTCAAAATCATCATCCATCAGCACTTCCCAAACCTCTGGCCTAACAAATGTAATTCTTTTCATTTTTGCTTCACTGATCTTTGGAAACTCGTCAGATACACATTTGAAACCATCACCATCTTTGTTCATTCCTTTTACAAAATTTTTCACAAGTCTCAGTTTAATATTAAGTGTGGGCAGAAACACATTTTGAGGAATCACTAAAGGTTGATACTCGATATTCTGTTTCCCTGATATGTAATTTTCTCTCTCACTGGCTAATCCTTTTTTTTAAATGATTATTATCATCTCAGCTGTCCCAGACACACAAAAAGCAGCAACATTTAATATACCCAACTGCAGGGGTAGCAGAACTGCAACAACATTTGGATCACCACATATGATGATCATATTTGATGTCATCAAGTATAATCTGCGTGCTTTGATAAGTTTCTTTCATGTTCACAGCATGAGCAACAAGAATCGATGGCTTAGTGTTCCAATTGTGCAAAAGTATGGCTTTCAGACTAACTTTAGTTGAGTTGATGAAAAGTGTCCATTCTTGAGGATGATGTCCAGTACCTAATCGTTCCATTAGTTGATGTCCTCAAGTATAATCTGCGTGCTTTGATAAGTTTCTTTCATGTTCACAGCATGAGCAACAAGAATCGATGGCTTAGTGTTCCAATTGTGCAAAAGTATGGCTTTCAGACTAACTTTAGTTGAGTTGATGAAAAGTGTCCGTTCTTGAGGATGATGTCCAGTACCTAATCGTTCCATTAGTTCATCAACATTTATACAGAAACACAAAGTATCTTGCATACTGTAGTGAGAAGCAAGATTTGGTGGCAACTTCAGTAATGGAAACTCTTGTTCTTGGAGCTAATGAATTCCATTGCTGTAAACAAGAGCCAAGAAGTTCCCCATGCTGCTTTGATAGTGATAAGTCATGAATCAGATCATTTAGTTACAAAAATAGTTACAAAAGTACTGTATACCAATATGAATTGTAGCATTTTAAACATCAGGAAAAATACAACAAAAATTCACTTTTATTAATGATCACATAGAGAAAATTTTCCTGTAAACTTTAGACAGTTTCCAATGTTAGAGCATCGACTACAGAAACATTTGTTATTAACAATCTGCATGAGAAAGTTACAGCTGGATTCCAGCACATAAAACACAGCTAAAGTTATAGCACATAAAACTCTGTCTAGTTTGGAACAAATGACACCTACCTACTGTCATGTGTTAAAACCTGAACTCTGTCTAGTTTTGAACAAACAAACCTACTGCCATGTGTTAAAACCTGAATTCTGTCTAGCATGGAACAAACAACACCTGCTGTTGTGTTAAAACTTGAACTCTGTCTAGTTTGGAACAAACAACACCTACTGCATGTTTTAACACATGACAGTAGGTGTTGTTTGTTCCAAACTAGAGACAGAGTTCAGGTTCTAACAATGGTACTAGTTCCAAACCAGACAGCAATGGAGTTTTAAGTTAGGACAAGTGTCACTTAGCTACAATCTAGAAATAGCAAAGGCTTTACTAGAAGAAAGCAGGTGTTCATTAGCATCAAGCAAGGAATTGCTAATGTTCTACCAACCAAAAGCAAGTGTGCAACATCTCCAAGCTAGATATAGCTAAGGTTCTAACAAACAAATCCAGGTGTTCATCAGCTCCAAGCTAGATATAGCTAATGTTCTACCAACCAAAAGCAAGTGTGCAACATCTCCAAGCTAGATATAGCTAAGGTTCTAAGTCAGACTCTGCCATTAATGAAATTTGTCTAATTTTCTTTATAGTGTTACATTAGTGACGAATATAAAATAACAGTTGGATGTTATCACTGGCAGTGAAAGATCTATTTTTAAAAATCTTCATAATATAATGAAGTCATTTAATTGTAATTGACACAACTTCAATAAAAGAGATTAAAATATGTCTGATTATGTCATTGGTTTTGGTTCTTTTGTTAACTATTTTTTATTATTAAAACATTTTCTTACAAGAGAATGTACTTGAGGTAATGAACACCTGGTTTTGTTTGTTAGAAGCTTAGCTATATCTAGCTTGGAGCTGATGAACACCTGCTTTTGTTTATTAGAACCTTAGCTATATCTAGCTTGGAGCTGATGAACAACTTTTGTTTGGATAGGGTAGTTAGAGAAACTATTAAATACAGTAGAATAGCAATAGGAAACATTGGATATATAAAAATAACACCCGAATACTGATGGTATTTTATAAGCACGGTAAATGCATGTGGAAATTGACCATCACCAACACTCTATTAAAACATGTGTTTCTTCATTATCACAATACGATGCTTCTGTTATACGAACAGTTTTTACAACAGGTGTCCTTATAACCTATCATATCTTTCTTAAAACCTTTTGGCTTTCCACCAGTCAGTATTTAACTGTTCTACAGTTTCTTGACAAACCTGCATCAAAGCTATTTCTGTTTCTCAGTACTGGTTGATACCAAAAAGCCGAACCTTGTGGAACTGGGGTAGTTTGGGTAACAAAACTAGCATCATGGATGCAAAGTTAATTAGAAAGTGTATGGAGTCGTACTTAGTGTAGAAACTTGTTAAGAAAAACCTGAAAAACAAAACAAATTTATTTAAACAATTATCATTAAAAACTGACAATAAACAGCATATGATACTGACTTGAAAAAAATATGTACTTTTATTAAAAAGAGATTTAAGACAACAATATCTTTACGGAAACAAAAGAACATTGTTATTTACATCTTTACTATACATACATTCATAGTACTATGTTTTTTCTATTAGCAACACAAATTCTCTTGAATTAAAGGATTGAAATAAAACCTCAATTTAAGTCTTGTTCAATAATTTCAAATATAAAAAAAAAATACAATATAAAAGTATTAAAACAAATTATTAGTTTAACATTAGATAATCTGATATCAATAAAAGATAAGCCTGTGACACTAAAATTGTATCTAAACTTATATGATTAATCTATGTAATAAAATAAAACTGGCATAATAGTTAAAAACAGCTGTGAATGGTTAGGTTTCTTTCACAACTTGTATGATTTGTAAATATTTCAAAACAACGATTAAAAGGAATATATACACGACAAACATGAAACAATCAGGTCAAATAAAGAAGTATTTAAACAACATTAAAACATTCTTGTTTGAACCTCTAGCTGACTTATAAAGGCATTTCCCTATATCATAATAAAAGAACACAATATTGTGTTCAAAAATTAGTGAAAAAACTGTCAGAAGTCTGATATCAGAGAAACTAGTTTCGACACATTGAGACTGAAGAGAACGCACGAATGTGTAGAAACTAGTTCTTCTGATATCAGACTTCTGACAGTTTGTTCCGTTTACTGTGGTTTTTTCACTATATTATGTTTAAGTTCGTTTATTGTTAAGCACAAAGCTACACAATGGACTATCTAGATTCTGCCTATCAAAGGTATCAAAACTTTTATACTTAGAGTCATAAGCCCTCACACACTGCTGAACCACTGGTGAGATACATTTAAGTTATAAGTGGATTTATTCATATTATGAAAGAGCATTGCATTTTCTTATGTTCTAAACTTGTATCTTACCCACATTGTTTGATTAAACACTATATTTTAATGTTTTTAAGTTCACACTGTAAAACATTATTGTTTTAGCTTCTTTGTCCAATATCACCGATTAAAATCAGGTCACTTCACGGTACATGTCTATCAAAGTCAATAGAACCTGTTACATCTAAGGAAGAGCAATTATTTGAAATGTTGCTCAAGTATTTTTTTTAATTGAATACTGTGTTATTACAACCTTACTTAACGAATGTTTTTAACTGTGTTTTATTAACTCACCTTTCACAGGTTTCCAATAAAACACATCTTACTTTTCCAGATTTGATGTAGGTATATAAACACTTCAATTTATATCACTCGTCTTTCAGACAAGATATAAATAGCACTTCAGCTAAACATTAGGATGTTTA